AGAGAGAGAGAGAGAGAGTAAGAGAGAGAGAGAGAAACATTATCTGGCAGAACAGTGCTGTGAAAGCAACCAGTTAATCAAAAGGATTGCAATGTGGCCATGGACTGCCACACTCTCCTCCCCAACTCATAGAAAAAGAAAAAGAAAAAAGCAGCAGAGCAGCGACTCTCCGCAGTCGCACAAATGCAAACCTTCCACTCTGGTGACTCCTCATTAGCTTACTGAGTCTGACAGCATAATTATCGCAGCTGCTTCGCGCTTAGAATAAATAAATACAAAAGTGGGTGTTTAAAAAATTTCGAGAAGGGGAAATTCAGTCATCTCGACAGTCAGCAGGACAAGTTTATTTAAAACTTTTAGTTTCTTATGTATTTAGATCATTTCAGAACAACATAATGAGATAGTTGTCTTTCCATCTAATTGAGTTCCTAAGCTCCTGGCTGTTGGCTGTCACCTCTTTCAAACTTTGCTTTAACTTTCCTTCCCTTAGAAATCTGATCCTGGTGTCTCCTTTTACTCTCCCTGGGCTGATAACCTGGTGAAGACTCAGTGCACTGGAGTGCAGAAAGTGACTTAATGGGATTGAGAAACCAAATAACCTTTCACAGGAAACAAGATAATCAAATCTCTCTTGCTTGTAACAGCTAAGGGAGAAAGCATCAGTTAAAAAAAAAAAAAGAAGAAGAAGAAAGAGAGCGAGAGCCTGGAAATCAAACCATCATCCCAAAATGTCTGGTAATTTCCCCATCACGTGGTCTTTGTGCTGCTCTTACACACCATCCATCAATCCATCAGGCAGCACTGCTCAGTGCATTTAATTATTCAGAGTGCACCCGGCCTCGTGATTACGCGGTAATTTTAGCTCATGTGTATGTATATAGACTTCATAGCTTCAAAGCCCAAAGGATCACACAGCACTTCAAATTGAAGTTGCTAACTAACACGGAGTGCACTTAAAACTCTGACTAGGGGCACAGCACATATGCATTTCCGATTAAAGCAGATGATCTTTCCTTTTAAAATTAATTAGTGCCTATTTATCTTTTCCTCTCTCTCCCACCCCTCGCTCTCCCAGGACTGCATTCACATAAAGGCTTCCATTCAGTCAGTGAGTTAAGAGCTTTGGAAAATAAACAGTCTGTCAATCTGGGATAAAGGAAATGAGGATTAGTCCATTGTGCAGATGGAGAAACTGAGGAAAAAAGAAGAAAACTCAGGTCCTTGAACTCCCAACCCAGAGCTTTGGCCCTCTCTACCATTTTTCTCACTTGACTTTTTTTTAAAAATTTTTATTTTATTATTATTTTTTTGTGCATGTACCATCAAATCAGATCTGACAGGTACAGGAGGAAATTGTCCCTCCTTCTCCGGCAGAGCATCTGGTGGATTTGAACCGTGTACCTCTGGGGTTGCAGTACAGCTTCTTGCCACTAGGACACCAGAGGCCCCCCCCACCCCTTCACTTGACTTTTTAAAAAAACTATAAAGATGAAAAGACACTGACACTCAGGAAAGCATTGGCAAAGGTGAAGAGAATCTCTAATAATCACCCAATCACTTACTCCCTTCCAACTGGTCCCAGCTCAACGACCGTAATTGTTTATGGGATTGCCCATCTTTCTTCCACAGAGAAGCTGATAGATTCAAACCATCCACCTTTCAATTAGCAACTCAGTGCTTAACTACTGTACTAATAAGTTGTGGGGCTGGAGAAGAGCATACCACCGACTGTGAGGGAACAAACAGGTCTGTTCTGGAGAAGGTGAAACCAACTTGCTCTCTGGAGACAAGGATTTTGAAGCTCTGTGCCACAGACTTTGGGTGTGTTTCCAGGAGGGACCAGTCCTTGGAGAAGAACATCGTGCGTGGAAGGGTAGGAGGGACAATGCAGGAGAGGAAGGCCCTGGACAAGACAGATTGACATAGTGACTGGTGTCTTGAGGGTAGGGGTGTCAGAGGCAGTGAGATTGGTTCAGGATAGGACAGGTTTCAGAGCTATTGTACATAGGGTCGCTATAAATCACAGATAACAACAACCACTACCACCTTTCAGTTTTGCTCATATGCATAACACATTTTCACAGGTACACTATCCTGTGCTATTTAGAATTCTGGGTTTGTTTAGCATGTGTCGTAGTATAAACATTTCTCTATTACCAAGTGAAAACTACTGTTACTATTACCTGGACATCAATGACTCAGCTATATAACGAGAACATGGAATAGCAAATAGTATGTCCTTTTGCCCTCTTAAGGTCTCACACTCTTTCTAAAATGGTGTATCTTTACTTGTGAATTTCTCAGCCCATGAGGATAACAAATTTAACCAATTTAAGGGTTTAGTGGTTAAAGAGTTGTGCCGCCAACCCAAAGGCATGTGGCTTAAATCCACCAAGTGCTGTGAGGGAGAATGATGGACAATCTCCTCCTGTGTGATTTACTACCTCTGAAAACCCACTGGAGGGTCGGCTTGTGTTGGTTGTGATTCAAAGGTAACCAAAACCAGAAACAACAATAATAATAAAGGCTTGTTAGGGTTGAGATACTTACTTTATCCAGACTTGAAGCAACATGGCTCTATGCAACAGCACAGACCATCTCTCACCCCAGCATCCCCTCTACTGTGTGGGAATGGGTTGAAGACAACTTGGAGCACAGAAGGGATAGAACTGTGATATGTTATT